AACCGCCACACCACGGTAAGGTCCAGTCACACGTCACACAGTGTCATACAAATCAAATCGAACCGTGAAGATGCGGCAGCTAGTCAGCGTGCACAGAGGCAATGCAAACCAAAGGGAGCATGAGAACTGAAATATTACCAGATCGTTGAAGCTCGGATAAGGGCTGCCAGGATGTGGTGCAAAGAACGATCACTGCTTCAACCACTGGATTTTGTAGAGCTCGGTACTGGGTAGTATAGACAGCCAGTGTCTGTTTAGCAGACGGGACATAGCAGCAGATTTTGTAAGCTAGTTATGTCGATGCACACGGCCATCCACAAATCAACTTACAGTGTACGGTAGCATACTTACTGTCCTGTCGAGGGATGGATTCTGGCGTGTACACCACACGCACGTTCATCAGTAATATACCTGACCGAAAATAATAAATAGTCTTTCACTTGTGTGATGCCTACCTGCTGTGCCACCGGAGAGAGGTATGAGGACTGAGGTTGCTCAAGCCTTAACAGGAACAGTCGGGATGCTGAGGTTGGGTTCGAACCACGGACCTTCCGGTCAGCAAGTTTGCACCTTAGCCCACTGAGCCATCTCGGGTCTATACCTGACTAGCTGGAACAGCCCATAAAAGCAGTAACTCGTTTTAGAGAATTGGGGACACAAGTTGAAGTACTGGATGGTGTTTGACCTTATCGAGGTCGCGGCACTATCCGGGCCAAGAGCATGGTGATGATGATGAAGTCAACTGGAAAAAGCCATTTTTAAACACTCCAAGGGTGAAAGAACTGAGGAAAAAACGCACCACATAGACTCCCATACAAAAATATCTGGTTATTTGGAAAGATACCAAGCAGCAGCAGTTGAAGACTCACTTTGGCCAATAGTGCTTCCGACACACCCTTAAGGTTGTTTGCCACCTGTGGAGGAGTGGCTGCCTGATCCACTGACGACGAGGATTTGAATAAGGCAATTGACGGCAAGGTTTGAGAACCCACCCTTCCAGCACACTGCTGAACCGAGAGTGGAGGCTTACGGGGCGAACAAGCACTCAGCTTTGTGGGACTTGGAATAGGGGGCAAACATTCCTGGTACCTCAAGTTGGCTACATTCTGACAGACATCGGCATCGCGAAACAATGAACGAGCCTGAAAAGCCTTTACAGCATCTTTTGCCGTGGTGATCTTGCTGTCCATTGCCGACGGTCGAACAGGAAGAGGTGCAGGTTGGATGAGCGGTACCATCGTGTCAAGGCAGAAGCGAGGATGCCACCGTCTCAACTCTTTGTCGTCAGGAAGCTGAGAGGCATCGATCCCCAACTTGGATTGCAAAAATTCCTGGAAGATAACATCCAAGTCAACAAAGTGAAAACCAGTACTAGAATCACACCAGGTCACACAACGCTCATGGAAAACCAACGGCATATGAAACCGGAAGAAATGACGACGCAGCATCTCAAAACAAACAGGACATACGAAGCCAGCATCTGTCTCTACAGAGGGATAAACCTGATGCGAATCATAACACGCTTGCAGTTGAATCACACGGAAACTGGGAACACTATTTGCACCGAACTAAAATTGTTCAACCTCTATCACCCAAGAAAATAGGAATAGTAAATAAGATTGAGAAGTGGCGTCGACTACGAATCGTTACAGCCAAAGACAACAAGCGAGGAAAAATATCCGCAAAAACTAACAGGAAAAAACACTCCTACCCGATGAGCCCGAAACACGTGACCGAGAAGTAGACGATGGAAGCGCTTGCGTCTTTGAATCAATCGCGTACCGGTGAAGATTATATGTCCTTTGGACGGAGAGTCATGCCCGAGTTGCGTACCATCTGTGGAGAAAGGATAGAAATAAACACAGCTCTCCAGAACAAGCGTGCAACCGGTGTACAGTGACTACTTATGAGGTTATCAATGATCGAGAAGACATGCCAACCAAACGGTACATCTAAAAAGATAGTCGCTAACTCACCTGTCCGAAGATTGGGCACCAAAACCAGTACATGGTTACCGGTCGGTCGACGTAAATATTTGTCCAGCTGTTTATCGTAACGTAACACATAGACCATAGGATAGACCGCGAGGAACTGACCGATATGGGACTCTTCGAAATTCCTGGTGAGTGGATACAGTATGATGATAGTGGTAACAGTTGTGCGGAGGTTTAGTGCACCTAGCACCAAAAACGATTTTAGTGAGAAAGAAGAGTGACAAAGTCAGCTGAACTCAAGCCTACGGTATTCTCGTTTGAATGATCCCACTTCTACTCTGCTCCGATCGTTCTAGTGAGTCCGCGCTGTGCTGGAGATTCACTACTATTATATATCAGCAGTACATATCATCGTCTGTACCCGTAATTAATTGGAATGTGGCGCGAATGTGTTAAAGCAACGTTCATAAGAACCTGAACGAGTTCGTTGTTGAATACTGCGGATGGTATACCTCGATGCCTTGAGCGACAGCCAAAGCCGTCTTGTTGCGCGAACCGACGGTTACCCTGCTAGGATTTCCGACTCGTTGGCATCAAAGACCACATAAACCTTCAGGTGGAAACCTAGATTTGAAGTAACCGGAAGTTTGGAATGTCGTGGATTATTGGTAGCCCATGTGCATACGTCAGTAGTTGGGTTGTTCGCCGATATTCATATACGACTTGGAAACTTTTCGCCACCATTCGAGGAAACATCATCAATGCGCTGTTGGATGGATGATTTCTCCCCTCGTCCTTGTGTTTATATATTTTACGTAAGAGCAGTTTATAATTCTATCGTGTTTGTTTACTGATGATCCGGTGTTCTGCATTTAGATTATTCCGCTCCAGGACTCTGCGATCTGGTTTTCTCTTATTTGATTGGTTTGTTGGACGTCGTCGTTTTTAAGTCTTGACCACCTGTTTTGAACAAACCAAAAGATTTCCGAACCACATGACAGGTGTCGGAGGAGCCAGTCAAAACAAAGGGCTGAAAGCGAAAGCGCCCGACAAACCAACCGACTAAGGAGAATCCAAACCACAGCAAAGCAGAGATCTAAACGGAACAGCGACTCAACGGAGAATTGGAAACAACGTTAGCCAACCACACCGTAGATATAAGCTGTTCCCAGCGAAATTGTACAAACACAAGCACCCGAAAGGAACACTCCCAATAGCGCGTTGACGAAGTGATGAGACGCCTGCAAATAGTTGACCACCGTCGGCGAACCTGCCAACAAATAACAAACTGAATTTGTTCATTACAATGCCTTTGTCTGGGAAAGACCAGTTGCGAGAAAAAGGCCTCTGAAAACAGTAGGCTGTGCCTAACAGCCTCGAGAAGAGTGCCATCTCTCCGAACGGAGTGCCACTGAGTCATCTCGCCCCCAGTAGGCTATGGATGTGAGCATAGGTGTAACAGCTGCGTGTAAGCTGCTGTGTAACCTACGGGAAGCACGACGGCCGACACACTGCCACCCTGTACAAAGCCGATACACAACTGTGTGAGGCGCCAAAATTGGACACAGCAGATCATGTTCGAACCTTTGTTTGCGTACGATGCAATCGTCCGACCCATATACTGACATAAGCATGTGGCACCTGACCTCCGATGGGTGGCAGAGTTCTCAGTGTTCTCAAGTATTTGATCACTGGTGTTTCTAGAAATCTTGTAAGGAAGTCGGGATGACTTGATGTCTAGTGAATTTGACAGACAACGCAAATACGATGGTTCGGATAATATGTTGAACTGTCCAAAGAGTTCCTGCTGTTATTATCCAGCTTAGAATGATTTTTTAACAACGGAAAATAATGAAGAACCAAGCTTTGGGTAAGGAGAGATGGTGTTGAGCTACCGAGTCGCCATCTAGTTTACGGTAGCAAACGATGCAACAGAAAATGAAAGACAATTTACTCGGACCTTTTTGCTGATCGTGCTAGATATGCCATAGCGGCCCGTTATACTCCACGAGCGGACTCAACCTCCTCCAGGGGTGGCGAGATGGACTAAGTGGTAAGAGCGCGAGTTTACTGACCGGAAGGTCCGTGGTTGGAACCCGACCTGGTAGTATCCCAGCCCTCGTGCCTCCTTCGTGTGGCATGACAGCTAGGCACCGGAAGGATGCTACAGCTGAACGATTACTATTTATTTTCCAGGGGTGGCCATGAAGTAAAGCAAGTAGCAACTCAATCTCCAGTTGCTGTCCAAGAGTTTAACAATGGAGATTCCTAGCAATGTTGAACACTGGTAGGGATAGTCTGTCTTTCTTCTGTCATAGTTGAGTTGTCCAGTTTGAACGCCCCAGGCAAAGTTGAAACAATCACAAAACGGCAGCTGTTTCTACAAAAGAAAGGAGATGGATCTTGCAAGATGTGATGCTCCGTTAAGAGGTCGAATTAGATTAGTTCGACTGTAATACCCTTTTAGTGCATGGGTACCACGCCACCTGAAGGAAGCAAGAGAGCTGAGGTACTGCCAGAGTGGACATGTCAGTCAAGATACCGAGGTCAGGTCAGAACCATGGACCAGCCTGTCATTGATTTCGGGTCTTAATCAATCTCAATCGATCTCAAGCTCAGTTTAACTATACATAGCATGCACAAGGAAGTACACTTTATACTACAGGGTCACGACTAGATTCGACAGCTCTTCGAAACGATGCATGGGTGGCTACAATCGAAAAACTGACCAACTGATTATTAATTCGACTGTATACGCAAGCGATGAGGTAACTCTAATCTAGTTGGTTACCTGCGGACGACCTCTTGGACGGCTGGTTTGAGTTTGTCGAAAGAACACATCTCTAGGCGGTTATGCAACATGCTGACCACTGTGTCACAACTGCGGAACAGCTCAAGCAACAAGCGAAGGTGATGGGGCAGAGTCAAACCGGGGGGTAGTTCCTCTGTTGTTTGAGTAAGTTCCAGATCAGTAGCTAAGCTGCTGATGGGAAGTCGGGAAGGCGTAAGGCTTCCATTAGGTACCTGGTCCACCTGCTCATTATCGTTAACCAAATCGGCGAAGCGCTCGTGGGCTGGTACACGCTGGACTACCGCACAAGTGGACGTAGAAGGTACAAGCGCAGGCGCTGGAGAAGGTTTGCTTGTAATCACTGACGAGCTTGCAACCACCGTATTCCCGTGAGGTTCAGCCTGACAAAATAGGGATAAAATATATCACGCAAATTTACGTCTACAAGAAAGATCTCAATCCAACTGATGACGAAGTTGGATTGAAAGAAAAACCGACAGCTTAGAGAAAAGGAAGCAGTGGACTTACCGGTTTTTATTCAAACACCTCTAGCCCTATGCAGTAAGTATGACCGACACCTACTGGTCGGAATGTCAAATTTGAATAAAGAATGAATAGCATCTTTATTGATGATGCCGATGGGCTACTGCCCCTGGAATTCGAACAAACATCTTGCGATGCAACTTACGCGCACCGCTCAACAAGTCCAGCTTCTCCGTCCAAAGTAGATAATCACAATTTACAGGTGACAGATGTCAAGATGTAGGTGTCTAAATAGAACCTATACAACGGGTTGAAACCCCCCACCCCCGAGACCCGAAACGTCGGATGATAAGTCACAATCCAGTATGCTGCGTTTTGACCCAAATCTTTGAAAATGTGGAAGCTCAGCGTTTGCTGTTTTCCAAATAAAGCGTTCCTCCGAAGCGAGGGCGCCGTGAGACCGAAACTGTATTCGTATACTCTCTACAGCCCAAGATAGCCCAGTGGTGACGGCGCTAAATTGCAGACCGGAAGGTCCGTGGTTCGAATCTAACTCTGGCATTTCGACTTCTATCTAGGCTAAGTCAGCCTGACGGCTTCTCGACCCTCGTGCTGTCTTCGGGTGGCACGGTAGCTATGTTCGAAAAGGGTGTTGCAATCGAACAATTATTGTTATTATTATTGCTATTATTAGTCTCCTTTTGTGTGTATTCACCTAAATGCCTTTCGACACAGATTCCTGAGAAATGTATAAGATCCATCTCTACGATTAATTCAAGATCGAACTAGGGATATGCACGCCCATTTTCGTTGGCATACCTTCAGTTTTATACGTTTCGTGATTATCCCTAAATCCTTCTCTGGTAAAATTGTGAGAAAATTAGGAATACGAAAAACAACCCAGTCTACATAGTGATTATGTCGAAACTATAACTTGGTGTTTTAGTTGATTCAGGGTGTTTTGTTTGCTGATCAGAGTGATACACTGAAACGTGAAGAGTGGCGCACTCTCCCAGATATGTGGATAAATCTGAGCGCGATGGTCATGGTTAAAACGATAGTATTCCCATGCTACAGTAGCTCCGTTGCCTCAAGGGTTTCATAAAATAGACATAAACAGACCATTTCTGAACAACCGTCTCGAGGAAGTAATGTTCTCTGACACGGTTATGACGCTTAACGCTGGTAAGTAGTGAGGGGATTCGGGGGCCCGATTGGAAATTCACCCCGCATGTAGAGCCAGTTAAATGTGAGGCCGAGAAGTATTGCACAGCTTTTTCATCCTTATAAAGAAACATCACTAGTGCGAATCACAAGAAACGTGAAGACTGGTAGAAATCGCAACCCTTGGGTCAGTAGCTGAGCACTATAAAATTCCGTCACGAGTGACTTACACCCGGATGATAAGAAGAGTTCGCCTATCAATCGGAAAAGGACAGGTTCAATTCACGAGGCATGTGCTGCTGTTGGGATCAAACAAAGATCAAACGACCGTTTAGTGTTTCTCAGATTTCACTTGCTGGATGAAATCTTGATTGCCAAAAGGTTGCTCAGCTCGGAGAATAGCCAAACCATCAACTACACTAATGGTGGATGAGAGAGAGGACCTTGTGCTGGCCTATCGCAAGCATTCTGAGGTGTCTACATCTCCAAACGTTCAATCAGACAATCTGGAAGGGAACTGACATGGTCGAGCCACCTCAGTTGATCGTGCTGGACGTTTTCCGTGACCAAGGTACTTACTGTACCGACTACATCAGTCTAACTTCGCTTGCTGCTGTGCAGTCCGTACGGTTTTGAAAGCTAGAGCTTCATGCATCACCACACAACTGTTTCATCCTTGTTGATATTATATATATACTTTATTCTGCAGGCGACATTCACGAAACGAAAAGCCTATTAGTAAAGTAAGGGTTAGGCAAACTTACCACATGATTGTTGTGCACCACTTTCGCTTGCGCTCTTCTTGTTGTAGTTTTTGGAGTCCGCAGAGCACAGGATTCGTTATTCTACGGTGAATAAGTAGATCAGAATGAGGATAAAGGAAGCTGAAAACCAACCTTTACGCTGTGAGGAGCTTCCTGAGTAGGTTTTCCGCCGGAATGCAGGAAACTCGAGATCTAAAAGAGTAAGGAAAGCACCACAAAAAACGAATGTAGACTGATGTAGAGTCGGTACTGCAACGGGCGATCACTAGTTTCGATCCAACTGGCTTTTAGGTGTTCATTCCTTAGGCTAAATTCTATCTTTGGCCAATCGCATCGTTGAACCCCAAAGCCTTTCCGGTTCAACCAAGGGTGTTAAAAGTCTGTTTCCCCATAATCATGCTCCGCCAGCGCTAGCAGTGGTGTGGCAGACGTTACATAACCTCTAAACTTTCTAAAGCGCCGATAAAATACACGCGTGTTGATGCTCACCTCAGGCGGTCGGTGGTTAAAAACCAATTACACTTAACATATAAAACGATGGGATAGACCGAGTGATGTCCAGCGACATCATGATGGAACCCCACTCATATTCACATGCAAAACTTACGGAAGAGGCATCGGGTTTAGTAGCTGCTTTTCTGGCTGTTGACTTTGGTGTTCGGACTGCAGGTGACCTGGTTTTCTGTAAAAATAAGCTGAGGTGATCTGAGTCAAGATAAACGTACTTTGGAAGTACGACCATTGTCCCGCGGTTCAACGAGTCTTTTGGTAGTCTGCTGATCACAAACATCCAAACTCTGAATGAAGGAAAGAAAGAACCCATCCAGGTGGTCAGAAGGGTTTAAATGCAGAACGATAAACAGTAGCCCATCACAGGGAGGACCATTCATGGACTACAGAGGAATACTGTGTATGCGTTCCCTTAGCCCCTTGATCAGGATGATCTAAGAGTATTCACATTCATCAGTCAACCACTGTGAATTTACACTGAAATAGGTTAATCAGGTCGCCGGTTCGCCGTGAAAGCAAGGTAAGCTCATTCAACACCTTACCTACCTACGGCCACGCCGAACGTGAGAAAATTCGGGCTTGGATTTCGGGGCGGTCGGTGGCTTGAACACGCCTAAGGAAACAGACGGTCAAACTCGGATTTACACTCTCGGTCAATCAATCGGTTAGAATACGGGAGGTAAGGATTTCATGGGTGAACCATCTCAGCGTGACGGTGACGCTCGCTTTCCGTGATGTCAATGATCAGGTGCACCTACATCAGTGCCGCTTGCCCTTATCACATCACCATATCTCACATCATCCGAAGTGAAAATGTACCTTGCATTGATTGATAAGCATACTACATATTTCTATTGGTATGCTAGCTTTGGCGGCGAACTCAGAACGGGATATATCATCCGGTATGTCCCTATCATGGTCATCTGGCTGTTAGGCATGAAAACCTCCATAAGCCCTGCGGTTTGGTTGTTACGGTTACCTCCCTTCTTACACTTACACTTACTCCCTTTTCCGTCCCACACCCGCCAGTTCGAATACTCTCTCCGAAGGTCCCAGCACTAGGACTGACCTGTTTGTTCGCTTTGCATCATACTCAGCTACAGCTTATGTATTTCGGACATCAGTAATCACGAACACTTCGAAGTGTTTTCAAACCCCGAAAGCCGACCTACGTAACTTCTTTTAATGTCCGCACATGAAAGCAAGCAAGACAACAGGTGGTTCTTGCTCGCATTCTGGATGTCCTCTGCATTGAAATATGCAGTATGTCAGAAACAACTATATAAAACGCAAGCACCTAATTTAACTTATTGTCTCCTCGCTATCTTCCAGGTTCTGGCTGCGCGTCTCCGATGCTACAGAAGTCGCTGCAGCTGGATATATAGGCTCGGATATTATTCTGGGCAATTGAGCGGAAGCGTTCCTGGATAACCGTTGGTAGTCGTCTCTGTGCGGTTCGTTTGGCAACGTGTGTGAGAAAATCTCGAACCCTGTTTGTCTGCTTACGACCCAACGGATTGTAGCTCTGAATTTGCCAAAGAGGGTTTCTATGACGCTCTAGGTGAACTTTTGCAGTGAACTAAAAGCTCAGACAATGTTGTGGTTGCTGAAGAAACGAACGATCAGGTGGGTAGACAAAGCGTTGTTGAGGCCCATTAGGGTGATCATTTTGGGTTGGACACAATACGTGCGGACAACGGAGAGTACCTGCTCCCGATGTGTGCCGACCACAAACGGTTCCTTTGTATTACCAAATTTCCGGAACAGCAGGAATCGCTTGACAACGTGGTGGCCACGAGCCAACCAGGCTTAAATCCAAATAGGCGCTATCACCGTCCATCACTGTCTGCCACTCCTTCTGGAGTACCAGTGTGGACTCCGACCATGCACTTTCTGCTGCTGCTTTTCAGACGTATGTAAAACGCCTAGTGGACCTATCAGAAGTAGCCGTTTGAACGTCTGCCAGACGGTCCGACGTCGAATATTAATGGTCACTGGAATCGGATACCCAAAGTACCACCTAAAGCCAGGACTTTCGTTGGCGGTAGAACCCAGCGAACCTCATTCAAATATTGGATCTCTGATAGGAGCAGGCATTTGCTAGGGGCCAAGTGACAGATTCCTGTTGACCGTAACCACAAATAAACCCGACGCCAGGTAAAAATGAATGTCTGTACAGACCACGAAGCTTGGGGGACCCAAAAGCCTGAAGAGATGGAAGAGGCAAAAAATGCCGCAGGCTGTTCCATTTGATTTGTTCGGCTGGTCGTAGCAAGCCTCGTGCCAGAGAAACTATCAGGGACCAGAATTACACTCTGATATCCAGTAAGGGAGGACGTTTGGATCGTTGGACATAATACTCTGAACAACAATTCAGTTGACCACCTACTACTTCGAATCCGGAGTCCTGTCCTTCAAAGTAAATCGCGTCCTAAAAACCCTTCAGTGAATCTATTCAAGAATGGTGGTAAGTTATTCAGTCATTGCCTGTCTAGCCTATTTGTGTCTATCTGGGGAAGGTGAGTAAACAATAGTGCCCATTTGCAAAAAGTACAATCAGCGAATGTAGTAACCACAGGGGTGTTAGTTTGACTCCCGTTCTAACAGTGCTTCTGGTGACACTGATTATTCTTCCTCTTCCAACTTCACGCGAATCGTTTACAGGTGAGCATTAAGTGGGATTTCGACCGGGTATACAGGCTGCGTCAACCACACAGCATCAAATATTAGGACAGCGCACTATGTACAAAAGACGCATAAATTCGGTGGTGCTTTCCCTCAGACGTGCGTTTAAGTCCGTCTATTGGACTGCGCTGTTAATTACACTTACTCAACAGAGTGTGCATCAGAATTCCGTCGCTATAGTCATATACTTCTCAAGGTGTGACAGTGCATGGCGAATTCTCCAAAAGTCTTCCAAGAAAAAATGCGGTCCGAGAAGGATGTCCATTTTCTCCGTTTTTGTTCGAATTCGCCGTCGATGAAATGATGAAGAGAGCGCTTGAAGGCCTTCAAAAACCGATGTTCCAACCGTTACTGGTTAGGATCATATCGATCTGGCGTGCACAGACGATATCATCTTCGCTTTTGAAAACGAAGGCAAGGCGCAAGAATTGTTGAAATACCATCCTTCGAAATGTGCTTTTGGCCTCCAAAGCGAGAAATCAAGATTCGGAACGTGTAACCTCTGAATATACTCTTACGACTCACGGAGAATCATTGGAGGTTGTGGAGAATTTTACATACATCGGTAGTTGTGTTACATCTGGCGGCAGTGTCTCATAAAGTCAGTGCAAGAAGCTCATAGGCCCAAATTATGTTCACTAAGTTGCATCCCTTATGGAGCCAAAAGGCATATCACTGGGCCTCGGGCTTCGAGTGTATCAGGCTACAGTGAGGGCTGGTTTTGGATAACATCAAGCAAGTAGTAACAAGCTGAATAGAAAACCGGTATTTGGTTGCACAGCAGATATTTCGGTCACGGAAAGCGTCCAGCACCATCAACTGAGGCGGCTAGACCATGTGCTACGCATTCCGAAACACTATCTACCGACATGAGTGTTGTTCCCCATGTCTCCTTCAGAATGACGCATACCGCGAGGTGGACGACGTATTACCTGGTACAGAGACGTAAAGGTGATTATAAAGTGTTTGGGTTTTGTGTGTGCGGGTTTCCGTGACCCTTCCTGCACCTGACTGGAGACATTGCAAGAAATGGCGGCCGATATTTGTCAGTGGCGTCCGTGATGTCAGTTTCTTTCCAAACTGATTAAACGTTTGGAGGTGTAGACACCTCAGAATGCTTGCGATAGGCCAGCACAAGGTTCCCTCTCTTATCCACCGCTTTCCTCTTCCTTTTACTCTGTGTGAACACTGATGTTACTGTCTCTGATGGTATCATGGAGAGCCGGTAGCTCAGGTATGTAGTTGATGGTTTCGTTTTTCTCCAAGTTGGGCAACCTTGTTGCAATTGAGATGGCATCGTTAGCGCTTAGTTGGGTAGCAGAGCAGCATTAGTTGGGCGTACGCCACATCCACACTGGCTACGTGACGCCACCATGTAACTGCGTCTCACTCCGAGCATACAAATATAGAAAACGGAGTGTACCAGATTATCTCAGACCCAATGTTCGACTTTCCAGGAAGCCACCACTAGCATAAACGTCGTGGTACATAAACAGACGATTAGGGGAACCTATTTTTCGATCCATAGAATGTGACACCACTATGCGAAGGACGTTGCTTCAACGGTCGAGCCTGACGATACTGTTGATGAGCCTCCGTAAGACAAAGATTCTTCCCAATCACCACCATATTACATAACGTTGCATGCACTACATACGACTCTAGTGGGCCTGACTGGCTCGTCCTTAAGCTGAAGATAGCGAACAGTTCAAAGTGTGGCGGAGAATGTTCACTTGGCCTTCACATTATCACCAACATTTCAGCCTTTACAGTCGGCACAATAATTATATGGATGGCGTAATAACAAGCAATATACTTGAAACTAATAGGAGGAAGGTGACTGATGATTGGGCCAAATTATTGTACGGGATATAAATTACTGAAACATATTGGCAGTACACGAGTGAAGCTCAGTAGATCTGTAAACAAACGGCTTCAAGTGTAACCATGGTGCACAAGCAATTCTCATCCACTTCAACCCATCACTTGGTCCATTCGGGCAATGAGATGTGTTTCATCACTGATGACGTACCAGCGGCAACAATTCTTGACTTACGGACATACAGGCCTACTAAAGGTAAATAAGATGAACCAAAGAACAACATTATCCAGTCTAACAGTCCGGGGGGTAGCATCAGGACTGTGGTGCCTGGGAGAGCGAAAACAATGCTATGTTTAGCAACAGATCAGATTAGGCACTGGGTTTAGGAGGTCACGAAAAGCTTAAACACTCTCAACATTACGTACAACGACTGAAAGTAAGCTGTCTTACCAAAACTACGTTCCTTAGACCAATGAAGTGAAGTGCGCGGACACGCTAATTTTAGACTGACCGAAAAGAACTTCACCAGGGATATTGAGTTAATAGTCATACCAAACACTTTATAACGGCCTGGACTGTTACTCGCTTTCTGCATTGTTGAACTTCAAGCGAATCAAGTTCAAACCACTGATAGGCTGATAAAAAGAACAAAGGTAGGTATTTAATGAAATTTATGTCCGTTACAAATGCATACTGCGGGTGACTTTATTAAGTCTTCTCACCTTCAAAACATATCATGTGTAAAACAACAAACACAAGTTCAGTCGTAACGCCCTGTCCGGCACAGCCGCCGTGCAACTCTAAGAAAACATGAAGACTAATATGCTATCAAATTGCCCTGGCCCATACAGAAGCAACCGAAAATCCGGGATTGCGTTCCATCCACGGACCCTTCGGTCAGCAATTTTGTGTCTAAACCACTGAGTTGTTTCCAGGTAAAGCTGGAGTTCATGCCTCATCTCGACAATAAGCATATTACGATTAACGTTGGTAGTCCACTTACGCTCTCTCTAATTTTGATAATTGTCTTGACACAGAAACGGAAGAAGTAATAAAAACCAGAGTAGGTCTACATGAATTCCACACACTCCGTACCAGAATGGCACGTTACCTGTAGTACTAGATAAGCGCTCAAAAAGAGCCAGTGGTTCGGACAAGTTCTTCGCACATAACTCGTCTGCATAATCAGGTTTGCTTTCACCGTAAAACTGTGTCAAGACGAGTGTTGTCGAGACTGTCGAGCCAAACGTTGCATGCTTAAGTTTAAAGTTGTCCACATTGCCTGCATCACTGAAAAAAACATTGGATCAACATCTGCAACGGATTTGACATCGGATACCAAAATTGAAATTCGGAAAACCCTAGGAACAGGCTCATCCTCACAATACAAAATAAAGTAAGTGTAAAAGGCCCAACCCGGATAACATGAAATCTTTTAAAAATTTACCTGACTTGTCTGCGGGGTCTGTGCCGTTCGTGCAACTTTACCAGGACGGCGTGGGGAGTGAAAGGTCGTGACAGGAACACACATCTACAAATTTTGAAAAGGCGGCTAAAGATCATACCTGATCAGTGGCTAGGTTTGCAAATCTGATGTGGGCGGGACGTTTGGAAGGATTCTATAAATATATCATGGAGCGCAGTAGAAAGAAAGCTTACTGTATCAGTTGTTGATCTTGTTGTGAGATCCTGTTCATAAGTGCGCTTCTGGCTGGCTGGCGTTTTTCCGCTCCTAGTCACTGTATAAAATCGGTCTAGTTGTATCTGCGACATCGTGACCTCCGATCAGAACAAAGAATACGCCGGAAGGTGGTAATTAAGTCACTGAAACCAAGAACACATACATCAGCTGCATACGCTAGGCCACAGAGATGTGTTTATCCACCCACCCACCCTCACCACCATCATCATCATTGACAGCAATACACCAGCGGTGGAAAACGGTGCTTGACTGCCATACAAATTATCCACCCCCCACCCTCACCACCATCATCATCATTGACAGCAATACACCAGCGGTGGAAAACGGTGCTTGACTGCCATACAAACGTGGAGTAAGAAGACTGTCAAAGGTTCAAGAGGGAGTAGAGCTGTAGAGGATTCCTCTAAAAGGTCTATGTCTCTAAAGGAATCGCCCAGGAGTGAGGTATCAACACCTTTCAAAATCATTGGGATAAACACATACCGGACTCATTTTAAAGCAAGACATCATCAGTCTACCTGACACAACCTCTATTTCGAACCCCACCTAACATAAGCCCAGCGGCCAACGGCAGACAGCTACGCAGCCTAACTTAGGAGTGACAGCAACCTAGTCACTGGGATTGGGTGCAAGCAATGTCTAACCCCAAGCAAGCAGAATCACAAGTGCCCCACCCAGGAAACCGAAAAGATCCAACGGCGCTAATTTTCACAGTAGCAGCTGATATTTGGGGGGTGGGCGAGATGGACCAAGTGGTTAAAGCGCGGATTTACTGATTGGAAGGTCCGTGGTTCGAACCCGATCTCTACCTCTCAACTTCCCCTGTCTTGGTTTAGGCAACCTGACAGTATCCCAGCCCTCGTGCTTCCTTCGTGTGGCATGGCAGCTAGGCACCGAAAGGGTGTTAAAGCTGAACGAGCTGTTATTTGGTTCTACTACGCCATGACCTGTTCTCTGTGGACGTTAATATTAATGCTTCACTGCCGTACAAGCATAAAGTTCATTTAGTTGGATTTAAAGCAATAAAATGAAGTGAAGGAACTGGATGAGACCTGGTGTTGATGTGTCACACCCCCAAGCGCCTAATCAGACTGTTCGGGAAGAAACTACAAGAAGTATCGGCTAATCGGTTTTAGTGGCATTCGTACTGTCAGTTCCTATCCTGAATGACAGCGTTTAGCGATAAAGTCATCATACCTGTGATAGGCCAGTATCAGGTCCCCACTTTACCCAATCTCTCCTTCTTTTCACGTTAGAACTTAAGTACAATGAACTAAAATTTGTGGTTATGTAGCAGTGAGGCATCAGTGGCAACACCGATTGATGATGATGCTGGTGATAACGCATTACTGGAGCATAGGTTAGTGATGTTGGGTGAGGATTGCACAGATATATGAAAAGATGTTTGCTCCCGTGACCCTTTCATGTGCATTGCACCCTCAAAGTGCGAAGTTACGCCTCAGAATGCACAGTCTACGAACATACCTCTTACAATTCAAGAAGAATCACTGGAGGGCGTGAGGAATTTGACATATATCGGTAGTTGTGTTACATCTCACGGAAGTGTCTCAGGAAGTCAGTGCAAGAATCTCAAAGGCCCGAATTATGTTCACTAAGTTGCACCCCTTATGGAACCAAAAGGTATATCACTGGGCCTCGAGCTTCGCATGTATCAGGCCACAGTGAGGGTAGTATAGCTGTACGTGTCAGGACTATATAAACCATACCTTTGCATAGACCATTAACTCGTAATTCACACTCTATATTTTCAGCTTATGCACTACCGTCATTCGACGATTAAAGCCCTTCTATTCTGTCTTTCTTCTAATCTCGTCCTGGAACTACTCGACTCTCGAAACAATTTAATCGTCTAAAAAAATAAATGGGCCATATTCTCCGACCCACGATGTGATGCTGATCTTTATTCATCAGATGGCATGAAACGATGGACTCATTGTTTCCGTAGCTTCAAAGCCTACATTAACACAACCAAACCTGAAGGTCCAAATATATTGGAAACTCTCATACGCTACACTGACCATACATTGTATGACTACATTGCAAAATGTAGCGATTAAGATTTTGCGAAAACCTTGCTGGAAGAACTTTACATTCGCCCAAAAATATCATGTATTCACGCCATCTTTCAGTTACATACAAACAAGAACCTGGTCAAGATGTCGACCAGTTCGTTCAAAAACTGAAGTCACTTGCTTAAGACTGCTGTGGAACATACAAACGAAGCAGTTCGGGATGCCTTGATAACCGGACTGCGTCGAATACTAGTCGAGAGAAACTGCTGTGGTATGAATCGGGCTTTGACAAAGCCCACGAAGCCGCACGAGCTCTTGAACTTGCACAAAAACAATCACAAACATACGTATACAGACAACCTGTCACTTGTTCCGTGTCTACTTCTTTGTCCATTGTCACTTCCGAAACAATTTTCTGCAGCTACACAACAAACATGTTATGTGGGAACCCCAAGAACCTCGTTGTAGGTGCCCCGCTAAAGAACCAGCATGCAAGAGTTGAGGAAAAATTGGACATTCTCAACGCGTCTGTAGGTCCAAAACCTCAAAATATCGCGTGGTTTTAGCTCAAGATTCCTCTTCACTATTCTGTGCTGCTTCTCCCAATTACCTATCCTAAACTACAACAGATATTTTGGTCAACGCCGTTGTTGTCCGAGCTCTTATGGATACCGGCAGCTCCAGGAGTTTCGTTTCTTCATCAAACCTGCAAATTCAAAACTGGGAGCTGTTTCCGTACGACTCTGTGATAACAATGGCACCGACGAGACATTTGCGTTCCACCAAAGGTTATTGCCCTGTTGTTGTTGTCAGTTTCTATCCAGATTGCCTGAGTGAATGTCTGGAGGTGTAGGCACCTCGTAATGATGGTCGTAAGCTAGCACTGAGTCCCTTCCCTGTCCACCTTTACTCTTTTCTTTACAATAAGGTTTCCAAATAAATCATGGTTGTACGGCAGTGAAGCACCGGTGTTGAACACTGATGTCATGCTGTCGATGATGACGATGATGATGATTTCCGTGTCTGTTCAGTACAAGGGTGCTACATATGAACGGTTCAAACACTGTGTATTACCGAATCTCTGTGCAGACGTCCCTCTCGGACATGACTTTCTGGGGTTATATGATAACGTTGAAATCCCATTCAGTGGCCAACGGTGCACTCTAACTGTATGTGGCGTAACATCCGCGAAACTGGAATCTCCATCCTTATTCATCAATCTTGCTGCGAATTACAAACCGGTCGCCATGAAATCTCGTCATGATACACCGGAAGAACAAATCATTCAAACCGAAGTAGACCGAATGCTCACTGATGGCATAATCGAAACATCAAATTCCTCATGAAGAGCACAAGTGCTCGTAACGCGCTATGCGCGTCATAAGAGACGTATGGTGATAAACTACAATCATCAATCGCTTCTACCACCTCGACGCTTAACCTTTACCAAGACTGGACCAAATGATTGAAACCATCGCACGCTATACCGTCTGCAGTGCACCGGGTATCCGGAGTGCATATCATCAGGTTCCAATAATAGTCAGACAAGCCATTCACAGCATTCGAAGCGGGCGGGAACCTATACCATCATCACCATCGACAGTATGACATCGGTGTTCAACACCGATGCTCCACTGCCGTACAACCATGATGTAGTTGAAAGCCTTATTGTAAAGAAAAGAGTGAAGGTGGACGGGGGAGGGACTTAGAAGACTGGACTGATTGAAACCATCGCACGCTATACCGTCTGCAGTGCACCGGGTATCCGGAGTGCATATCATCAGGTTCCAATAATAGTCAGACAAGCCATTCACAGCATTCGAAGCGGGCGGGAACCTATACCATCATCACCATCGACAGTATGACATCGGTGTTCAACACCGATGCTTCACTGCCGTACAACCATGATGCATTTGAAAGCCTTATTGTAAAGAAAAGAGTGAAGGTGGACGGGGGAGGGACTTAGTGCCAGCTTGCCACAATCATTCCTCCAGACACCCACTCAGACGATCTGCATTGAAACTGACAAGAACGCCGCTGGCATCGGTCGGCAGCCATATCTTGTAGTGTCTCCAACCAGGCACAGTGAGGATCACGCGGTCCCCACCCTGGAAGGCGAGTAGCACCGACAGCACCCAAGCGTTTCGTGATCTCTTTCATACTCCTCTGCCAAGTCAAGGGTTGGCCACCTCTCTGTTTACGCCACTCC